TCAGAGGAGACCCTTCTCTTCGACCTTAATTTGCAGATCAAAAATTCACTACTTTGTACGCGCTTGCGTGACTTACAAAGTAGACAAAGGTGATTGGAAGGCGCCTTCTCGATAATTTACGTTGAAATATCAGGTCATGAACTACGCACAGTGTGGAGAAGATCAAAATTAAAGAATAAAATTTGGCACTCTGGTCATAACAGACATATCGCGTTGCTCAAAAGGACACAAAAACAGGTTAAAATAGAATATATTAAAGTTCACACGGCAACCAGGTGGACAATCAGACATAGTTTGAAGCTACACTGGTTTGCAGATTTAATGAATGTAACCGAAGAAGTTACAATTCATAGACCCAACGTTTCGACACTCCTGTCTAGTGCCTTCATCAGGGGTGATCTAAACGCTGCAACAAGAGGTCCCTTGTTGCAGCGTTTAGATCACCCCTGATGAAGGCACTAGACAGGAGTGTCGAAACGTTGGGTCTATGAATTGTAACTTCTTCGGTTACATTCATTAAATCTGCAAACCAGTGTAGCTTCAAACTATGTCAGGTTAAAATAGGTTACAGTGTTTATATTTACAAAACAACACGCATACACTCTGAAATAATTCTTGCAGTTTCTCCCGAGATTTAGTATACGGAACCCGATGAACTAACCCTCCTTTCCGCAGATTTGTTTCCATAACTAATGATGTTACGCTCTTATGGACCACAATGGTTTTGAGCGACAAACTCGACATTTCCCTGCGACCATCAAAATCAACTGGACAAACCCAGCTTGATATATTGCGTGAAGTGATTGTGCAAATTTTTCCCCTTGCCATATGGCCTGTTTTGCGGGTTCTACAAATTGAAACCAAAATTAGTGTAACGAATTAGAATCGAAAGTTATTAAAATGGACTGAATTACATTTTAATGAGAATTTGAACTTTCAAGAAGGTTTACTTGATCCATGGAAAGCAAAGATTGGAGTGGCTTTGGGTATTTCATCCCTGATTTTAGTTCAACCTATACAAATTAGGATTGTAATACTCTGAACAGAAGGGTTTTTATATACTTTGCTGCTGAAGGGGTGTACATAAAATAAATATTTCACTCCAGAATATTGTACCACAAAACAATAGAATTTATGTTTGTGGGAATAAATATGTTTTCAGTGCTGACTCATTTTCATTTAAGTTGCCTAAACCTATTGAGGCTACAAAATTATGTTTCCCAAAAAATATATAAAAAATACTTTCCAAACAAGAGATTGGTTTGCCTTCTGCTCCATTGAAAAAAATAGTATTGAACGCTCACAAGACAAAATTGACTTGGGCCAATAAAAATAAAGTAATAATGGAGTTTCTAACAATGGGAAAATGGAATCTAACTGTGGAGGTGACTTCCAAATTGTCAATTTAAGTGCATGAAGTTACCTTTAAAGATGAGTGTTTTGCAGCCTGTTTAAGATGATTTTTTAGTTGTAGAGCAAATTCTCTGGTTGGTGTCATTATCAACCCCAGGAGTGGTTTCTTGAGCTTGGATGTTCCATTACCAGTTCCTGTGGCTTCTGTAGCATTATTTTTGGTAGTATTTTTTGTGGTTTTGCTTGCTTCTTGACTGGACTTGTGGCCAAGGATGTGGGTGAGAATTGGAATCTCAAAGGCTAGTGTTTTACCTGAACCCTAGTAAATACACACAATTTTTTAAATTAATACCCTTAAATAATAACCTCCTCAAAAACCAGCCATTCCTGAAATCTAAACTTCTCCCAAGTGATCTTATCATAACTTCAGCAGACAATTTCAAGGCATTATCCAACAAATGATATGAGAACTACAAAACTTGCAAGCTGAAGGGACTTATCTTGATAATCTTATTGTAATGCACATTTTTGTATAAATAATGTTCCATCAACCAACTATAGTAAGATAGATTACACCTACATATAGAAGGAAGAACTATCAAATTAGTTCTTAAGATCTAGCAAAATTTAACCTTCAGTTAATCAGTCAGTCAGAGCTCTCTCTCAAGTGGTACACTATACACATAATTTCAGCTTGACAGCTCTCCTCAAGAGTGCTTTAATTTACAAAAGTCATATTTATAACTATTCAACTCTCACTTAGTACCTACTTTAGACATTAATTCAGGTCACAGACCAGCCCTAAAGTAACAGAAACTGTTTGCTGTAATGTATGGGAAAGTCTTCTTACACGTAAATGAGCAAGGTGTACATCATAGTAAATACATGTACATGTTGAAAAGGGATTTTTTTTCCACTCTCTCTCTCTCACCCCCATCAAAAAAAACAAAAAAAAAATTATTCGAAATAGTAGAAAAAAAAGTAAACAAACAATACACATAAAAAAAGAGACCTCCACCAATCTAACTGCTCTGATTCAACTCACTGTTTCTGCTGCACCGATGATGTCCCTGTGGTGGAATATTGCAGGTGGAAGGGAGAGAGTCTGTATAGGGGTTGGTGTAGTAAAACTTTGTTCACTGAGTCCTCTCTGAACTTCTTTGGGAACACCAAGGACTTCCCAAGCACTCATATCTGCCATGGGCTCTAAAGTTTAGTTCATTCAAAATAAATGATTTAGCTATAAATATAATTGTATCTTAAACTCATAGTGTTGGAACGAAATATCATTTTATTACAGTTGATCGCAATAAGTTATTTGTACCTGCATAGATATGACATATGTATATAAAGGTTTTATAATCTAAATTAATGAATACTTTATTAATAAATATCAGTACAGTAATACAAAACTTATCAGTAAAATTACATTATTTATAGAAAATCATATCTTTGCCAACAT